GAAATTTCAACAACCTTATGAGTAGTGCATTACAAAGATATACACGTATCGCGATATCTCGAATATCGTAGCGACTGAAACATGAGGCAGCCTGGTGCAGCACATTCAGTTGCCTGAGAACATCATAAACGAGAGATTCAGCTGGGTTCCAGGTGAGTCTCTCGAAAAAGCAAATTAGTTTGCAAATGAGTGCATGTTCGCCCATTCCCTGTATGTTCGTTAACAGCCATGGTCCCAGCTGAAATTCTTGTCTCTTATATTCGTCAGCTGAGTAAGAGTATTCGGTTCGCGCAGACATAAACTTGGCCTGTCTAGCTTATTTGTCTCGCATGTGGTCTACGAGCTCCCTTACAGTCACGAGCATTTACATTGGCAGACATCTAGCTAAACGCGGATAACATATTTCGAACCATGTAACCTGGATGTTGTCAGCACAACCAACGGGGCAGAAGTCAACTCGGAACCCTGTACTGTCAATAGCCAGATGTGTTAAATACTGGTCTTTGACCCGGTGAAGTCATTCTGAATCTAGTTGCGCAACACAAACCCAAAGTTCTAAGCGATAAGTAAAGCGCTGCTGACTAAGCAGAATCAGTTCTGACTACATGCATCAAAAACAGTTGAACGACTTCACTAGACTGTGGTTGATCAGCTGACATGCAGAAATAAACTGAGCAGCGTCTGTTCAATATCGCTTCTCCTCGAGTCCACCTGATGAACCCCAAGAAGGGACCGGTCGTCATCTAGTTGCGCAACACAAACCCAAAGTTCTAAGCGATAAGTAAAGCGCTGCTGACTAAGCAGAATCAGTTCTGACTACATGCATCAAAAACAGTTGAACGACTTCACTAGACTGTGGTCGATCAGCTGACATGCAGAAATAAACTGAGCAGCGTCTGTTCAATATCGCTTCTCCTCGAGTCCACCTGATGAACCCCAAGAAGGGCAAAACCGGTCGTCCGCTGTTTAAGAACTTTCGGCAGCTTATGAGTATTTTCCTCCACTGCACTTATCTCTTATTTCATAACATGCACATCTTACATCCACGACTGAAGAAGGCAAACAAAATTGATGTATCACAGTATCTGTCTTCTATCACTCCTAATGAGACTGGGTGTTTTTATCAATACAGGGAAGCCTTGAAATAGAGGACATCTAACAGTCGGTACATCTTTGAATCCTCCATTGGCTTCCTGGCGAAATTTTCACAAGGGTTAACAACATTGTAATTAAGTGAACGAGGCAGAGCAACCGAGCCCCATGTGGTCGAGGAACCTTCTCAAAGAAACATTACGTTGACAAGTGGTGGGTGGACTTGTTTACCAAATCTCAACCGCTTATTCACTCTGACCCAAACTTGAGGTTTGGGGTTCAGACTGTGACGCGCTGATAAAGTTCTGGGATTTGATGATGAAATGTGAAGAGGGGGATGCCAACTGCATGCTTCCAACCGACCTAATTTTAGCTCATCATCATCATTGCCAGCTGTAATAACCGCGTACTCATCGTACAGTGGTTGTAGCTGCC